TCTGAAGCGGGGTATTTTAGTTATTAAAATATGTGCTATTCAAGAACAAAATAACCTAATACCACTCAACTTAAACGCAAGGATACGTTTTGGGTTGTAGTGGTGGTAGTAGGGTTGATTCCACGAGGAGTCGAAGTTTACAATGTTGGTTAGAGTGAAGTTGAAATTTCCTATTACTTTAAACTACACTAAACACAAAATGGAGGTAATAAATAGAAAGAGTTAAAGTTATCAAAAGTCTTATAAGAAAATTCTACTAGAATACTACGATAAACTAATCAAATAAACGAAATATAGAGCCTAAATTATAAATGAAAATTGAGAGAAAACGATTAACACTACAATGGACAAGGTAGAAGTAACTCCTAAGATATGATTAGGGTGGTTTTATTACTTTGATCCATGCCAATTAATGTCACGGTCTTGTTAATTAAGGAATGATGTTTATTTTTCACTATAGGTTCTATTCCTAGTTCCTAGAATTATATGACTAAACCCATATGCCTAGGTGACTTAGCCAATTTAGTTAACCCAATTAACATTCTTTATTCATCCTTTCAACGTATTTATGCCTAAATGAGGTTTAATAGAGTTTCATTAACAAATTCATGCTCCCATGAAGATAAAGAGTCATTCAAAAGAGTTTAATAACACAACATTTGAATGATCAAATCAAATAACATGCATCCCATACACTAACCTTGTTAATGGACTTAATAAACACAACCCATAACAATAATCAACATGGATATAAGAAATCTCGACTACCCATCCTCAATCTTAGGAGTTCAAGAAGATTTAGCTACTCATTATCAAAGAAACCTATCCAAGATTAATAATAAACAAGACATTAGAATGGGATAAAGAGGGGAGAAGTTACCACTTTCTTTTAAGGTGGAGAATCACCACAATCCAACAAAAACACCAATTCCATGTCCATCCATAGCTATCTTGAATTCTTGCTCCAAAATAGTGTACAAAATGAACAAAACTAATCTAATTTGATGCTAAGATAAGAGAACCCTAGAACACTAAGCTTAGAGTGAGTTTGGAGTGTCAAAAGTTACAAATCCGTTTGAAAAAGATCCACTTATAGTCCTTGACTTCGTGGGGACCAAAGTGAAGAAATAGAAAACTTTATGGACATGACAGCATTAGGCTTATAGGCTTATTCGACATTTTCAGAACTTGAGGGCCACATCTTGCACAGCTTTTCTTTTCAAGCAAGCACATGCCCTTCTTTGCGAATCTGCTGGGAAGGGAGGGTTAAGTTTGCAAATGTTTGAAAATTCTTTCATCCTCCTCGTTTGAAGTCGCCGACACCACCGGAATCAGGTCGCCGTTTCCGATGTTTCATGAAAACGGACAAAACTTATACCAAAATGCTCCCAAGATCTCCTGTGTAACTACCATGGAATCGTTCGGCTGTAATTTGAGCTTCCAGATCAAATTCAAGGAGCGATTGTGCTGCCTCCAAAGTGCTTGTTGATATTCCCTCATTTTCCAGTCTGAGTAAGTAATTTCTTTGCCCTTTTTCTCCTGCATAGAGTCATGATTTGGAACTTCTTTCTTCACAAAAGTTGTAGATCTTTCTTTTAGCTTCAAAATGATATTTTGAACACTGAAATGAGAGTTATGGATCGAGATTTATGTCCTCTGGCAGGGGGATGAGGTTTCCAGAAAATCTGCATACTATCTGAGCAAATTGGTGACTGAAATTCATATGCATTTTTTACCATTGTATCATCTGAACTGGTGATAATGTTAATATTAGCATGATATTTGTGGTGGTTTATGTGTCGTTTTGAATGTTATCTATGCTAATATTAGTGTTTTGATTCTTAATTTGATCACAGGAAGGATTTGGAACAAAAAGAAGAAAAGTGTTGATTTTGGAGAGATTTTGAAGGTTTTATTGAATCAAGTTTCAAGTTAGAGAAGAAGTGGTTAATTCCCACGTGGGCACACAGAATCCATGCCAAAATCAATGAAGGAAGCAGGAAATTCCAGAAACAATGTTGTGTTCCCGCGTGGGCACGCTGAAACAGGGACTAAAGTGCAAAATTTCCAAAGTTTTAGGGTCAATTTGTAATTTTGGCAAACTTCAGGGATCAATTTGCAAATTCTGAAAATTGTAATTGGTTGCTGCGATTTTTGAACGGGCTGAACGTGGGGATGCCCTAAATTTGCATATAAATAGTCTTTTTCTTATTATTTTGAGAGAGGAGAAGAGGCACAACACAGGGAGCAATAGCTGGAGCTCAGGACAAGGATTTCTCTCCGTTTTCGTCAGTTTTTTAGCTCTGTAATGTCAAACATCAATTCTTGTGTTGTTGATTTCACCATGATTAGCAACTAAACCTTTTTTTTCTAGTTAAAGGATTTTATTGAAGCCTTGATGTTATTCAATTGTGAGATCTAACTGTTTCCTTTTCACCAACGAATTTTGAGTATTTATTTATTCTCTTTGATGTGTATTGATGATTATTTGGCATTATTTGAATAGCTGGTAGCATTCAATTCTCCTAGATAATCTAATTTATTGAACAACAAGGTTTGTTTGTTCCTTAGAAGAGACAATGCAAATAATTACTTGGTAAGTAGTTTACTTGTGTTGTGATAACAAATAATCAATTTTTAATGAAACAAGGTTTGTTTGTTAGAAATTGAATTGGATCTTTGCTTGTCAAAAACTGAATCCTAGGAGGTTCCAGGTAGTGTTTTTTTGGCTATAGAGTGATTAATGAAGGTTTCTTAGTCACTGGTAGTTAAATAAAAAGGCTGAGTTGTTAGGAGGTTCCAATAACGATAACTAATATATTTATCATTTGTTGAGTTAATCTTTGCATCAATGATCAGTTGGATATATCAAGGTGGAAATTATTCCTTTGACTAGAGTTGCTCTTATTATTGATTTTCCAAAAGTATCTTTTATTGCTTGCAAATTATTTTTGTTATTCATTAGTTACAAATCCAAAATCTCTCCCATTTAGTTACTTTGCTTTTGATTAGAAATATTTTCACTTCCTTGCTCCCTGAGGAGACGACTCTACTCATTGCTATACTACTAAATTTGTTAGGAGTAGAATCTTTTATTTTTGTTGGTTTGACACCCACCAACTGGGAGAAGTGGTCTTCAAGGGATCTATAGCTCTATCTTTCCTCTCCGGCACGGTATAAAGAACTTCCAAATCCAAGCTGCGGACATCAAGTTATGGCCTCCAGATTGTTGCTGGACTTTGGCAAATTTCAGGGTTCAGTTCTGACAGCTGAGATTTCAACTGTAGTTTTGATCATTAAAAAGCCTGAATTTGAAGAAGCGTCCTGCATGAAAGTTGTAGTTCCCACTTTGAGCTTCATAGACGTATTTGGTTGGTTCCAAACGGAGGCTTTTAGCTCAAGTTATGAGCCCTTTAAGGTGAACCATTCGCCATTGATCAACACTTGTGAATTTTTGGTCTTTTGATTGATATTTTTGCTCCATTTCCGGACCACTTTGCATGGATCACTTGTTCTACATTAGAAGACTACAAAACATAAGATATGTGCATTTTTAAATGTTAAAACTATACAATGAGTCTATATTTAAGTAAAAGGGGTATGAAATCACATGTATATTTGATCCACATCAGTATCATCGGATGTTGCCGTACGGTGGTGGTCTGAGGGTGTTTTCCGTCAAAGTTACCAGAATTTCACCGGAAGTTGCCATCCGACGGTGGTCCGACAGTGGTTTAGCCGTAAACTACCGTTGTGCATGGTGGGAAGGTGGCGGATCACGGTGCCCCTTCACGTGGACCGAGGAGGTAACATTTAAAAACATTTCTTGTTTTCTGAATTTCAAGTTTCTCGTTTAAATTTTGAACGGGAATCACGTGCATGTCACGTGACTGAAACCAACCCATTATATTTATAATTTTCCAATTTTGCCCTTGCCCAAACTCACCGTCCTCCATCGCTGACCGCTGGCCTTCTTACCGGAACACCACCAGAAAAAAGAACAAAAATAGATTACACTGGCATTCTTTAGTGTCATTCTTTAGTGTCAAAGTGCAACAAGTTTTCTTTTTAGTTTTGAATGAATACACTAGGCATCTTTTTCTGACTTGCGGTGCAATAAATTCTTCCAAAGTACGTCAGAATCAAACACTAACTACCCAGCAGGACTATGTGGCCGCAAGTTGTGTTTCTAGTATGGGATCTTTAATAATTCTTCCCTCCAATGCGATCTCTTCCGAACCGATTGAAGATAATAATGCTGGTTGATAAAACACTTGTCCCACATCGGTGTGGTGAGATATTTTGTATCAATATATAAGATACAAGGGCTACTCCCTTAATTGATAATTGGTTTTGAGGTGAAACTCTATGTGCTTTATATGGTATCAGAGCTTGCCGGGCCCAGTATTATAATAGGCGATCAAACTGATCTAAATCCATGTCTACTGGGCCGGAGGCGATCGGACTAACTTATAAAAATATTGGGTGATCTAGTCCATGCCCGTTAGGCCTGAGGGGGAGTGGTAAAACATTTGTCCCATATCGATGTCGTTGGAGACTTTGTATCAAAATATAAGATACATGGGCTACTCTCCTCATTGCCAGAGACTTTGTATCAATATATAAGATACATGGGCTACTCCCCTCATTGCCAACTGATTTTGAGGTGGAACTGTCAATTGGTTTTGAGGTGGAACCTGTCAATTGATTTTGAGATGGAATCCCATGGGCTTTTATATGCAAAATTCATTCTCCTTCAGCAGTAGAAGCAAGTGAAGCACTAGCATTTCACGACGATTGTTTGATGAATAATTTGGATATTTTTCCGAGATGATGATCCAGATTCATTCAAAAGGTGTTCAGAATTGGATCAATGGGATTGGGATTTTTGTTTTTTTACTTAGACACACTGTCATTTGGAATAATCTCTTTGTCTGATGTTATTGACTTTGAGCCAAACGCAGATTCAGATAGAAGAGAAAGAGAGATCAGCAGCAGCCATGTGTTCTCCTCCTCCATCATCACCTTCAGTCACTCTCATCTCCGATTGTTTCATCAAACCAAAATCCATCCCAGAAGAATCAAACCAATCACTGTACTTGTCTTCATGGGATTTAGCTGCCCCTGTGCCCAATACATCCAAAAAGGTCTCCTCGTTCCCAAGCCGCCTTCTTTTTTTTTTTTGGTCGAAATTATCTTTTATTTATAAGGCTAGGTGCCTTGTTCAAAAGACGTACAAAGTCCTAGATGCTTCGGTTCTACAAGCAAACCTATACATATAGGGCAACATCAAAAGAATATAAGGCCTCTAAGCCTAGTGCTTGTTTTGCTAAGGTATCAGCACAGTTATTATTGTTCCTGTCTACAAGTTGAAATTCAACTACCCAGTTTGCCATCAAAAGGTCCTGAATTCTCCTTAAATCAGGATTGCACAAGCCGCCTTCTTTCAACACGATGCCCGCCAAATGCAAGACCTCTTGCTTAAACTGAAACAGAGTCTTTCCCTTACCTTGGTTCATTTCTATCCATTAGCCGGTCGTCTCGCAACCCTGAAACAAGATGATCCCCCAATTTACACCATCTATGTAGATTGTAACAACAGCCCAGGAGCCAGATTTATTCATGCATCCGTTGACTTGAGTATTGATGATATTCTTTCACTCACTGATGTCCCCAGTGATTGTTCAATCCTTCTTTGATCACCATAGCGCAATCAATCACGATGGTCATACTCTGTCTCTGTTGAGCATCCAAGTCGCAGAGTTGAAAGATGGAATCTTTATTTGTTGCTCGGCAAATCATATGCTTGTTGATGGCACATCTAATTGGCATTTCTTCAATACTTGGTCGGAGATATACAATGCCAAGGTGGAAAATAATCAAAATATAGCCATTTCCAGACCACCGATTCATAACTCATAAGCGTTGGTTTCCTGATCAATTCATCCAGAGACATGAAGCACCAAAATTGAGGGAAAGATTTTTCCATTTCTCAGCAGGGTCTTTGGCCAAATTGAAAGCAAAAGCAAATGCTGAATGCAATACTACTAAGATTTCTACTTTGCAAGCATTGTCTGCCCATGTTTGGAGATGCATCATCAGGGCTAGGAATTGTCCACCTGATCAGGAAACGAGCTGTAGAATGGCAATCAATGACAGGCAGACGTTGAATCCACCTTTGCCGGTGGACTACGTTGGGAACTGTATTTAGGCAATTCAAGCCACTGCTACTGCTAGTGAATTGCTGGAAAACGGGATTGGATGATCAGCCTGGAAATTGTATCAGGCTGTCCAAAACCATACTGATCAAGTAATTCGAGAAGGGGTTGATTCTTGGCTAAAATCACCTTTCGTGTACCAAATGAGCTTCTTTCATCCTTACAGCATTATGATGGGAAGTTCTCCAAGGTTTAACAAGTATGGAAACGAATTCGGGTTAGGAAAGTGCTAGCGCTTCGAAGCGGCTATTCGCATAATTTTGATGGGAAAGTTTCATTGTATCCTGGATCTGAAGGTGGAGGAAGTGTGGACTTGGAGACTTGCCTTCTGCCTCATTCCACGAGTCTTCTCGAATCAGACCCCGAGTTTATGGGAACTGTAAGTTTATGAAGTACTCCAGGTATTATTGTTGTAATAATGTGGGACAAATTGAAACATTCTTCACTAAATAAACGCCTTATTTGTGGCTTAATTTCCAGTTTGTTTTGTTTCAGTTTTTACCTCATCATGTTTTGTCCTTCTCCCTGAGTTGGAATTCCATGAAATCGGAAAGTTAGAAATGCATTTGAATTGAGATGAATTGGTGAATTTGGAAGAAGGAATGAGTTTGTATGAGGTGATCGGAACAAAGTATATAATTCTCGTGATCATTATGTTACCATGAAAAACTAACTTTATGAAAATATACCTTTCAACTTTCATCCTCAATCTTACTAAAATGTGTGAGCTGCAGCTAGTTATAGGTAAAAAATGGATTGTGAGGAGGGAAATACTGCAGATCTTAACGCATTGACTAAAATCACAGCAATGGATTCTCAATCCACTTGGGTTCATCATATCTTGTGCCCAACCACCAACAGTACAAATCCAAACCATATCTGATTTGTGATTGCGGAAATGGTTAAAATCTTGAGCCCTTTTAATTCTATCGAATAATGGAGGCTCTGCAGAATGAAATGTGGATCATGTGTGGCTCTCTACTTATTTTTCTTCTACAGTTACAATGAGCGCTCAGACGAAGGCCCCTGCTGATATGAAATGTTATCGCAAGGATGAAGCTAATAGATTCCATGTGTGTTTTTTTGACCGTATGAAACTCAAGATATCATTAACCTTTTGAAAAGGTTAATATAAGATATCTTTGAAATGATTTTTACATTTTCGAGCGCTTCAAACGAGGTTTCTGTTCGAAAGTGCAATGACTATGAAAACTGAAAAAATTGAAAATTTTCAAAGTCTAATCATTGACTTGACTATTAAAACAGAAGATTTTCATAGAAGATTTTTGTTTTGATGGTAAGGACAGGTCAACTTTGGTATGGTCAATATCCAATGAGTTGAAGGAATTAAAATGATAAAATGATATTCTTCTTAATATAAAAGGGCAAAAAAAAAAAAAAACAAAGAAGAAAAAAGCAAAGAAAAGAAGAAGACACCAAGTTGCTATATGATCCCCTTGTGCTTCATCGATGATTTAAAACTTTCTAGTACTAATAATATGAAAAGACTTCATTCTGTCGAATTGGACTTTGTAATTGTAAACTGTGTCGTTGTCAAATGACTCTTTCCAAGAATTTGCCCGAAGTCAAATGTGTATTTCTATTAAAATGAGATTGTTTGTGTTCTTACATTTTCTTAAACTTGTGTAGCGACTGAATGAATCAACCGTTTCTCAAGCTTTGATGAGTTTTATGAACATGATCATGCTTTACTGGAATCATCATCAGTAAATCAATTCCCTTTTTCTGATCTGGATTGCAACTTTTTGTTTGTTCTGTAACTTTGCTGGAACAAAAGAGATGAGTCCTAATGCAGAGAAGCTTGTCAAGATTGAACCGCTGGAGCTAAAATTCACTTGTAAGTCAGCAGCATAGATCTTTTTATTGATTCATTCTTCCATTTGCAATGTTTCAGTTAGCTGATTTTATCCAACTGATTTGTCATCCAGTCGAGCCGGAAAAGGAATTATCTTGTTATCTTTACTTGTCTAATATGATGGAAGATCTGGTTGCTTTCCAGGTTTACTTTACACTTTCCTGAGCTCCACCGTTCTGATTATACTATCAAACCTTACAAACACAGTTCATATGTGTTACTGAACAAGTAATGAAAACTAACGACACAATTTCGTTTCAGTTTCGGGATTTGCACGCTATCAATCTCTGGGTCAAACCAATATCTGGGATCATTTTGCCGCACACAACATGCGGGATAACAGGTAGAGTGCAAATTAGAATCAAAATCTTAGTTATTCTCAAAGAAAATATGAAAATCTTGACCCCTCTTTTATTCTGTCAAACAGTGGAAAATTTTCATAATGAAATCTGGACTAAGTTGTGCTTTTCGAACTTGTTCTCTTCATCAGTTAAAATGCAAGCTCAGAAGGATCCCCCACCTGACATGAAATGCAAGGACAAACTTAGAATTCAGTGTGTTGTTTTAACACAATTGCCAACTGATGACATCAAGCAAATGGTAATATTTTTCATATCAGAGTCATGATCCCACTTGTGCTTTTGTTAGACTCTCACCGGGACTGAGTTCTTTGCTTTCCAGTTCAATGAGGGGAAACCACAACATTATGTTGAAGAGCATGAATTGCCGGTGATTTACCTGTCAAGGCCTCTACCAATCTCACCCCTGCCTAAAGAAGCCTACAGTTTGTTATCACGGAGCCGAATTTCTAATTTCGATGAGGTTTTCTCCTTATAATGTTTCTTTCAATTATTTCCATTAGTTTTTCGGTTCTTATAAACTCGGGACTTTAGCATTTTCCCAATGTAAGTTACTTTTTTCTGTGATTAAAGATAAGCACCATGGAGCTCTTGAAGATTGACAAACACGAGCTCAATTTTCCTTTCGAGGCGAAAAAGCAGATCTCTTGCTCTCTGCAGCTGTCCAACATGACTGGAAATCATGTTGCTTTCAAGGTAAGCACAACTCATCAAAAGAACTTTTCTGTCCGGCCGAATAAAGGAGTTGTGTTGCCACGATCTACATGCAATGTTCTAGTAACAAGGCAAGCTCAGAAGTCTCTTCCTGATGTACTTAGCAAGGAAAAGTTTCTTATTCAAAGTGCACTGGTGAAACCCGGCAGCACAGAAGATATCAGCTGGAAAACGGTAAACACTGATTAACGGGACTTTCTTTCATTGATTCGAGTGAACTGTGTCTGAAAGTTCAAAAGGTTGCTAACTTGTTATATCTTTGGGGGAAATGACATCTGTTGGATTTGATTACGCAAAAATGTTTTTTTCTTATAGTTGAAAGATGCTGGAATTGTCAGAGAGTCTAAATTAACGGTGGTCTATACTCCTGCAAATGAATCACCATTCCTAGATGCAGAAGGATCAAAAGACAAGGAAAGTGATGATTTAAATGTTCATAAGGTTGTTCCCGACTCCTGTGTCATTTATCAGGTGTGTTGTAACTTGTACTAATTTTCAATACATCTTTTAAGCTTCCAATATGAATTGTTACGTTTAATATGACATCAAGGAAAAATGGTTAATATTCATGTCTTTAAGTCACCTGTCTCTCTGTTCACTTAAAGATGAGCGCAATGGAGCTCTTGAAGATTGATAAACAGGAACTCAACTTCCCTTGTAAGTGAAAAACTCAGTGTATTCTTTGTTGTTTTGTGGATCACTTTACTGTATATTTACATTTTAGATTTGTTTTTGGCTATCAGTTGAGGCGAATAAGCGGATCTCTTGCCCTCTCCAGTTGTCCAACCTGACTGAAAATCATGTGGCTTTCAAGGTGCATGGTTACTCTCTTCATTTGGATAAATGAAATTACACATAATCTATGTATCCAAATCCATATAGAAATATACCCTTCTTTGCACTATCTGTTGCTAATTAACTTAAGATCTTCTAGGTCAAGACGACTCAGCCTAAGAAGTGTATTGTTCAACCGAATAAAGGGGTTGTGCCGCCTAGATCCACATGTGATGTTCTGGTGACAATGCAAGCTCAGAAGGCTATTCCAGAGGTACAATCCAGGACAAAGTTTCTTATTCAAAGCGCAGTGGTGAAACCCTGTACCTCAGTAGAAGATGTCAAATGGGAAATGGTAAACACCGTTTTAACGAATCTTTCTTTCATTGATTTAGTTTGTACTTTGTGCATATCTGAAATTCTCAGTTGTTCAGAATGTCTATAAAGTGCAGAAAGTGGCTAGATTTTCGGGGCTAATGGCAAATCATTTGGATTTCATTATTCTTTTTATTGTAGTTGAAAGATGCTGTACTTCTTAAAGAGTACAAACTTCCGGCGGTTTATACTCCTTCAACCGAAACACCATTTGAAGATGCAGAAGGATCAAGAGAATGTATATCAGGACCATCAAGATTGGCTGTTGATGAAACTAAAGATGAGGTTAGTGACCATTTGCTTGTACATATTTCTTTGCAACTTGTTCTGAACTTTCTAATCTGCAATACATCCCTTTCAAAGCTGTTGTTCCCATGTAAGGCAAATTGTGACATTAGACATTAGCCCTTGACTCTCATTCATTTGTCATTGATTTTAAAAAATGTGGTGAACAGACATACCAAAAAATAACAAAAAATCCTCTTTGTCTCGAAATGGTTGTTCTATCTTGATTTTCATTTTAGTACAGTTTATATTAAAAATGAAACCAAACTAGAGCATCATTTCGGGACACAGAGAGTACTAGACTAGAAACCATTTGTTGTATAAATGTTTTGATGGTTCTTAAGGCCAGATTGTGTAGTTTTGGAGGATGAACTTAGATGTCTTACTTGAACAGGATGTTCTATAGGCTCGTACTAACGTGCTTCAAAATGCATCTGTAGTAACTAAATTAACGTATTCAGGGCAAAGTAAGGAGTATCATCCAGAGGAAACTGCGACGTATTTCATCTGCTTTTGAGAAGATGTTTAACTCCTTGGGGATTACTTCAAGGTAATTATAACTCAGAAAAATTCAGCATCTTTGAGCCCTCAAGTTTACCCTAGGCAAATGTTACACTATTTAAAGTTGAGGATTGAATCCGAAACTAATTAATCAATGCAGGTTGTGGATATTTCGGAATTCATCTTCCGCATACCAAAGGTTACTGGATGAATCAGATGATGAGCATTGAACCTTGGGTTGACAATTAGTTTGGATGATTGTTAAAGTATCACATATGCTACCAATTGCGAGCATTGATGGTGTTGATTTTATATAGACTATATTATATATACAATGTCAACTATTTCTCTTTTCAAAAAAAAAAAAAAGGAAACAAAGAAAAAAAAAGGTCAAAAATGAATTGACAAGATTGATTTTACTTCGCGTAGCTTATAATATAGACTAAAATGCCCCTGAATACTAAACACTTCCAAATTGTTTTATATTGTTTTATATGACAATCTCTTCACTGATTGTTAATGAATTTAATGTTGGAGAACCGTAGAGCACGCGAAAAAGGAGAAAATAAGGTAATTTTTTGGCGAATTTTTTACTTTTTTTGTATGTTATTGTTACTTTTCGTTTATGGTGTGATCGGGCGGCTTTGGTGTTATAAGTATTCTGGCAAATTTTTTTTTTTTTTTTGTTTTTTATTTACTTTTTTGCGAAATGTTTTAGACTAGATTTTCTGATCTTGGTATAATCGGTGATCACCGGTCTTTTTTTTTTTTGTTTCAAAATGGATGATCGCTTTTTCCTTTCGGTGTCTTTTTTTTTTTTTGATGTGATCGGCGGTTTTGGTGTTATAGAGAATAGAAAGTTCAAATTGCCTCTCTTATAAATATCCAATGCAAGGATTCAACGGATTTTTGTCTAAAAAGTCCCCATAGATTATTGTTTGACTACATGTATGATTTCAGTTTTGTTGTTCGGTTTAAACAAGGAGACAACGAACTTGGAATTTTGAACACTGTAATTTTAGAAAATGGGTATTGCTAAATGTAATTTGATTTTACTTCGCATAGTTTCATAGAAGTATTTTAGTCTATTTTATAAACTACACGAAGCAAAATCAATCTGCGTTTAGCAACACCCAAAAAAAATGTAACATTCTACTAGTATTTTTTCAAGTAAGTCCCCCAGTAGAACTCACAAATGTAATAGCCTATGATACCTATAATGATATATATATATATATATATATATATATATTTAAACTTATTGTATATTTGTCTGCAATAGTGACTAATCCATGAAAAGGTTGCTCCATGCCCATGCCAAAGTAAACAAAAAGGAAAAAGAAATGGCGGCCCAGCCCAGATCTTTCCAGGGTCAAATCCTAAACGGCTCTGGAAGCTTCTATCTTCACTCTACACAGAGTCACACACTAATCTGGAATTTTCCACAATAATCGATTCCAAAGTTCATCCAATTTCTGGAATCAACATCCCCCAATTTCCACTTCCCCAAGCCACCACCTTTATATTAAACCCCTCCCCTGAAACGCCCCACCAGTATTCGTAATTCCTCAGCGTTCTAACACAAACAGATCGACTCCTGCACCATTATCAACACTACTTCTCGCCAATAATTTAACAACCCTTTTCCGCTCAATCAACTCTTTCTGCAAATGGCATCATCACTCGCTTTGAGGAGGGCTGCAAGTGCTTCAATCAAGAAGCTCTTCGACAACGCTCAGAGCCCTCTTGTCCGGCCGCTCGCCTCTGCTCCCTCGGCGGCGCGTTCCTTCAACACCAACGCCAGTCAGGTGGCCAGTTACGACGAGGGTGACCGGGAGGTTCAACGCCGCCCGGATACCGCAGTCTCCGGTCGCCGTGAGCTGTTTCCTAGTATCTTCTCAGGTTAGTACGGATCGCCTCAATTCGATTCGAACTCTGATTCTCTGTTATTGGGGATTACTTTTTACTAATTGATTGTTCTCGGTGTTCTAGGAATTGATTGTTGTTAGTCCATTATTTTGGTATTGGTCTCTTACCCCAGGACAGTTTGCGTTCTTTCTCCCCCTTTTCATTGGTATTCTTCGGTGAATTTCAATTTTCAGCGACTAATTGACAATAGCAAATTGAAGTAATTTCAAGGTTCTATGCTTGTTTTGTTTTATGTTTATTCTGGAGTCCAGAACAGAATGGAAAAAGGGCAACACTTGGTGCTAATTTTACAGTTCTATTCTGTGAGGGAACAATCGGAAATATTTGGAAATCTTTCGGATGAATTGACATTGTGATTATATATAGCTCAAACAAACTAAAAGATTGTTTCTTTGAATTTGTTGGAGACTGTTCGCTCAGATATGTGTCCATTACTTGTTCAATTGTTCCATATATGATGTATCTGTTCTTGAAGTTACTAAAGTCATGTTGTTGGTAATTTGAACTGTGCAGATGTGTTTGATCCCTTCTCCACAACGAGAACCGTGGGGCAATTGATGAACATGATGGACCAATTCATGCAGGATCCGTTTTTCGGAGGACGAGGAACAGGGCCAGCTGCCATCTCAAGAAGGGGTTGGGATCTGAAGGAAGAAGATGATGCTCTGTACCTGAAAATGGATATGCCTGGAGTTGACAAGGAGAACGTGAAGGTAACTGTGGATCAGAACACTTTGGTAATTAGAGGCGAAGGCGAGCAGGAAACAGAGGACGAGGAGAGTCGCCGCCGGTACTCCAGCCGGTTAATGTTGGAGCCTAATCTTTACAAGCTGGACGGAATCAAGGCTGAGATGAAGAATGGTGTGCTGAAAGTGACCGTGCCCAAAGTTCAGGAGGAAGAAAGGAAAGATGTTCACGTTGTCAATGTTGAGTGATAAGTATATCGAACAGATCAAATGCTAAATGCTAATGCATATGTGTATGAGATGGTTTCGGTCTGGTGGTTTGTGTTAATTTTCCTCTTTTTGGTGTGTGTGTTCGTGTAGGAGAATGGAACAGTTAAATAAGCTGATGAAATGAGAATTAACAAAGTTTTCTGAAATTTTGGTTTATAACTCTCTGTAGTGTTCTCCATTTCTTTTTATGTTTGTGTTTTAATAGTCTCTACAGCAACTATTCGATGACTTCAACATAGAGAAAAGAACAATCGCAAGTTTTTAAGGTTTCCACCTTATGGTACATTAACCTAACTACTATGATGGAAAACAAGATTCGTTTTTATTGTTTGTTAGGTTTTTTTTATGGTATTTTTAAAATATTTAACTAATAACTGTTCCATCTTAGTATATTCATTTTTAATATATTTTTTTTACATTTTTAATACAAAAAAAATTTAAAAATATATACTAAAAAAACGAAACAAACATACTCACATGGAACTTTTTGGTTGGGTTCATTTCTATACTATACAAGGCTGTAACTAAGTAATATATTACTGTGAATATATATATATATATATATATACATTAGTTAGATCCGTATTAAAACCAAATAGTATAAGCGACGAGGAAAAAAAATGCTAAGATAGTTCAGCGGTGATTTTGGGAATTCGAAAACTACTTTGTTGTGAAGAAACATAAGCCTAGAGATATACAGGATCAAATTAAAGGCAGAGTAGTGTCAGAACCCGATAGCATCAATGCAATGGTCAAGCTAAGGTAGCTGGTTGTTACCCTTTACACGTTTCTCTTCCAATGCTGTCATCCAATCTGTGGCGTAATTTGCCCTCTGGTTCAAATTACAGGGTTTGCATTTTCTACCATGGTTTCATGTTAATTAACCTGGGAATTGGGTGAGAAGAAGTACACAGCAGAAGAAGCATAGTTGAGAGAGTGTAGGATCCTCGAGACTAAAAACACCGAGTAAAAAAAAAAAACAAAACATTTTCGACATTTCGGTATATTACTTACCATTGATTGCATTCTTCTCACATTTCACATTCATCCTTTTAAAAAAATATTTCAGAAACATGTTTATAATCTATGGCCTATGGTTAAAAAGATCATTCACAAAATGGTAGATAATGTGAAACAACAAATATTAGAACACTTGGCTTTCAGAGTTATTAATCGAAACCAATGTGGGACAAACTCTAACGACAAAGACGGAATTTATAACTGTAGGAGTTGTTAGAAGGAATCTATTTTTTTGTGTTATAAAAAGATTGCAATAATGACCATAACAATTAACAAGGATGATAAATATCTATAAATTAATTTTCTAATTTCACATTATAAAAATTTTCACATTGTTTGTAAATATTTTTTTATTTGAAAATATTATTATGATTATTTCGGATAACCAAAACGTATTCTCAGAAAAAATAATAACATAATAAATGAGTGTAGAATAAATTTTTTTGGTGACTAATATTTTTAATGCTGGACTAGACGGGCTTAGCCTAGTGGGAAAAGGGTCAAAGTTTCTTGGGGAAGAGTTCACCTAATTTTTATTTGATATACTCCAAAGCCAAAGGGAATTTGTAAAGCACAAAACTTCGGCCCTGTCTTTGAAGCTTGAGAGACAAATCGAACTCATCAAAATCTGAATTAACCCCCAATTCGATTCCAATGGCTCTCCGTTCAGCAATGGGGAAGAGCGCCGCCACCCGAAGCCTCCTCACGCGGCTGATCAACCGCAGCGAAAACCATGTCCCTAAAGCCTTCTCCACGGCCTCCTCCACCCGCTCCACACTTTACTCTGGTTCCAACGATGGCGTCGGCGTTTATGCTCACGCCGCCGGCGATGGTTTCAGACGCTGTCTTGATGAATTTTCCCTTAACCACGGTAGAAATATTTAGTCAACCAATTACGAATTTTGCGTACTTGCTGTTTGATATATGTCTCACTGAATCGGGTTTCTTGTTATTTGTTCGATTAACGTACTGTTTGATGTTATGCCTCAGTGAATTGCTTTTTGTTTTCTCCTCTGAGATTTTCTTAATTGATTGATTAATTTTGATTGGTTTTGTGGTCTGATCAAATCCAGGCAGCGAGGACATGAACATGGACAATCCTTTCCAGGTTACCGGGCCTAGAGGATGGTACGAGGTCAAGAACGTGGACGAGGGATTGTACGTGAGAATGGAGATGCCCGGAATTGCTAAGGAGGACGTCAAGGTTTGGGCTGAGTATGGGAATTTGATGGTCACGGGGAATGGACGGAAGGAATGGCCGCTTGAAGCTGCCGGGAGGAAGTATTCTGCTCATGTTGAGTATCCGGCGGACTTTTTCAGAGAGAAGGACATGAAACATGAACTGAAGAATGGAGTTCTCAGGGTCTTCATTCCAAATCGAACCGGCCATCACTAAACGGAGATCGTAAGAAATTATGGATTTATGCATCTTGGGTACTCAAAACTGCGTCAAAGTATGTTTTGTAGGCTAAATTTGCTAGAATTTTAGTGATAAAATAATCTGGTTTACCAAGTGCACATTATTATCTTCATATTAGTACATGTTGACGCTGAAGGTAGATAATCTAAGTTAGTTTCGTATGAGGCTGTAGAATGCCATCTGATTAGTTCACTAGTGCCTGGATGATGGCAATTTAGACTTGTCTTTTTTATTGGTATGTCAATGATTTTCTTGTTTCTTCTCTTTTTCTCCATTCTCTGTTTTCCCCTGTTTTGACTTGTCGATTAAAAGCCTCTGTGTTTCCTAGACGTGCTTCATGTGCTTATGATGATCATTGAATTTTTTTTACATAGCTGTAATACTCTGCACAATAGGAGTATTTTACCCATGGGCAGTCCGATCCTAAGTTAGTGAAGCAAGAATGTATGTGAATTCAAGAGCATATTACGAAACTCGGCTATGTTTGGACTGTCATTTTGAAGCAAGTTCTGCGGTTTTGTTTGAAAATTTGCAGCCACTTTCTTTGTTTTGTGAACTTTGCAAAACATATTGCATTTACCTTCTTAAGTATTTTGTTTGAGTTGCCTGTCGGCTGGCCGTGTTCTGGCAGCATCGACAAATGGTGGATGGCATGGTTTCTGTTCTAACGCTTTCTTAAAACCATTCTCAAAACACATTTTAAATTTTAAAATGATATTTGAACCATAACACTACACAAACAAAACAAAACAATTCAAACGATTCTTAGATTGTTTGAGTTTCGTTGTAGTTTTCCATGTAGCAATCGAGAAGGTTTAGCATGCGTTTCAGTCACTATAAGTATAGCTGGTTATAATATCCAGTTCTGTTGGGTTCCCGCTAGGTCTCTATTAATTAGTGGGAAAATTCCCACCCATTTCAAAGTTGGGTGCTTAATGGGTGGGATATTTTTGGGTGAGTTCTAATTGGGAACGGGGCATGGATTATTTTAGGTCTAGTTACGGATTCCATCTTCTTTTCCTCTTTCCCAAATCCATTTTACCCACATTTTTTATAAGTCAGCACAAAGAAAAACTAGCGATGACTTCTCTTCCTCTTTTTCCTCAATCATTTCGATTGGTGTTGCTCCTTTACACCACAATTGGCAACATGAAACTCCATTTTTAATCTGAAAAACTAAAATTACTTTTTAAAAATTAAGTTACTTTTTAAACTACTTCTCTCTCTAGCCTAAAAAAACTATCTCCTCTCTCTAGCCTAAAAAAAAACCCCATACCCTCTCCCCAACTACCACCATTAATGGTGGTGGAGCGAACTAATTTAGCCTAAAATTAGTTGTTGCTCCACCTTCCATCAAGTTTTTGCTTTTTTTTTTTTTCAATCGGCTTTCTCGATTGAATTATTTAAATATAAAAAAACAAAGAAAAGGAAAAAAATCTACCGTTGTTGCCCTCCGCTGCCCTGCTCAAAACCCAGGTCGACCCACCGCCGGCGCTCTCTGTCGCCCTCCGCTCGGAACCTAGATCAACCCACCACTGCTGCCCTTCGCCACCCTCCCCTCGGAACCCATCGACAATCGAGGTCGACCCAGTGTTGAGGTGTCCAGATCCAGATCGAGCGCCGCTGCAAAGACACATGTTGAGGTGTCCAGATATAGCGGTTTACCGGTTTGGTTCATCGGTTCAATTCGTCATTGCACTAAACCGGCTACTGGTTTGTTGGTTTAGTTTGCTTCCGATTCGTTTTTACTGTTTTTTTCTTTCAATTAAGTGGGATATCCCACTCTTAGCATAGATCCCGATTTGACTCATTACTGAGTGATTTAAGTGTTTCAACGGAGTCGGGTCCGTTGTTAGAATTCAATTCTGATGTATTCTGTTGGTCTTTAGTGACTTCAAATTTGAGCCTGAATCTGTTGATAAGTGACATATTTGAGTTTAGAATTTTATTCTGTTCCGTGATATATCCGACAATAGAATTATGTCATTATAGGATTGATAATTCTTTTGGTAGTTGTATTAGTCGGTGCAGTGACTAGTACCGTAAGTATGTCATTAAGATGGTTTGAGTACGTAATTTTGGACGGTCGGTTCTTGTATCAATTGGTCCCGGACCATTTTCAGTAATTTTAATGTAGTTTGTTTTTTTTAAAAAAAAATCTGAAAAATTAAAATTCCAATATTGTTATTTTCGTTTTCTTCTATATCACCGGCTGGTAGATTTTAGACAAATTTCATTGTTTTATGAATACAAAAGATTATGGGGGCTGAAGGGATTGTACTCTATATTTGATTATTGGCGTATAAGAGAAGAGCAAGGCAGCCGCTACCAATGGATCTAAAATTGGATTCTATGTGGAAAAGAAAGGTGAAGAGATGAGAAGAAATTGAAATTGGATTTAAGAACCTTGAAATTAAAATCTTTATTCTTAGAATTTGAAATTGAAAACAAGCCGTGGAGGACAAAGGAGGATTGTCGACGGTAACAAATTTGGATTTGAAATTGGGATGATTTTCTCCTGTGCGGTCAGAAAAGGGAAATAAATATAGAAAAAGAAGAAAAATAAATTATATACGGAATTGTAAGAAAGTGAAAAAAAAATAAAGAAAAGAAATAATGTACAGTAGGTAATTTTATGAAGAAAAAAGGGCGAGATCCCATTGGATCCCAATAATTATATTTAGATGGGATCCTAATGGGTTTTGGGTATCTAATATTCTAATCATTTTTTAGTCCTACCCATATACAAAGTAATTGGGAAAGTTTATTTCCATACCCAATAAATACCCATCTAATAAAATTCCCGCCTGATATCCATCCTACCCGTCCAATTGCCAGCTATAACTAAAAGGTTGGTGCAATACCACAACATGACAAGCAGTGTTCATCCACACTCGATTGTTATCTAATTTGTTAGACTTTTGGCTCTTCTACTAGATTAAAAAAACATGGTTCTACATGGGTGTGAGTCCAAATTCTATTTAAGATTTTAAGTGGAGTCCAACACAACCAAGTATGAGGATCATCGAGTAGTAGTAGTTTTATGTCATATCCATGATAAATATAGGACATCTCCATTTCCTCGTTAACTTATGTGAATTTTGTTCTGTACTAGGATAGGATACTCTCCTAGTATTCCCAGCAATGAAAAGTAATGAAGTTGTATTACAAATCGCAACCAGAGTTCTCTCAACTTTCCTATAGAGTTTGGACCGAAACATACCGTCAAAATAAATAAATCCAGTTAACTGCTTGATTTCTTTTTACTATTTTTTTTTTTTTGACTATGATGGTGCCTGAACAAATAATAATAATAACAATAATGACAATCCTTCTTGATTAAAAGTTTCAATCATTAATTAAATTTTGTATGGATCCACCAAAAACATATAAGTGAAAAGGAAACCCTTGGATACCCCCAAACGTAAATATTCCATCTTAGAAATAAAAAGAATTATAATAACGCATACAAATTGATTGGTCACTAGAAGAGAAAATATTGAGTACAGCTTAATATTTTTTCTACTAGAACCAAGAGACAATTTATATTTGGTAATTGCCAGTTAACTTGAAAACCAAGATTACCTTTTAGTGTAAAAATCGAACATAAGGAAATTTATTTATCCTAAAAATGAACAGAGATTCTTAAAGAAAAAAAAAATTACTACGATTACTCTCTCTATAACTAGGCATGTCGGTCAGAATCAATCATCAACATCGCTTCCTTCTAATACCTTCGTTAAACCCCCCGAATTCTAATGGCTTCTTCCATGTCTCTCACCCTCAGAAAAATCACCACTGCTGCGGTTTCGGCTTCCACCTTTTTCACCAGATTTCTCCGCGTAAAGCCTCCCTCTACTGCCACCTCTTGCTTCACCAATCACCGTTACCTATCTTCCGCCACCATCACCAATAATCAACCCGCACCAGAATCCGACCCAGAGGAAGCCAGCAAACATGACCCATCTAGTAATTCCTCCGATCAACGATTCCTACTATAAAATTTTTCATTTAATTATCAGTTAATTTGTTTTATTTGATAGTTAATATTTTGGGGTTTAATTTCCTTCTTTTGCAGTTATGATTAAACAGGGGTCACCACAACAAGGGTTGAAGATGGAGAACCCGCTCCAGTCGGGCGGCCCGAAAGATTTGGTTGCGGTGGATGAAGTGAAAGATGGCTTGCTTGTGAGGATTCTCCTGCCTGGTGTGGGGGAAGACGGGTGCAAAGTTTGGGTGGAGAATAATACTGTGTTCTTTTCGGGCAAAGGTGATATCGAGTGCGAGAACGAGATTTCTGGAAGGAGTTACGGAGGAAGTCTTGAGTTCGACCCGAAATTAAATAAAGTTGATGAAATTAAGAGTGAAATGAAACATGGGATACTTAGAATGATTGTTCCTAAGGCTAGTTAAGATTCAGAGTGATGTTGGCGTCTTAGATTTTGTAGTTGGTGTTTTTGGTTCATATTTTGAGGACTCCTAGATCTGGTCTGGCTACTTATAATTGATATTGCATTTTGTTTTTTGTACTCTTTCCTTAGTAAAACATTATGGTTATGTCAAAACAGTTTTTATCATTCGAAACAAAATTTTACAATTTTACCAAAATTGATCTTACATGATTTTTTTTTATATACAATTCTTACAAATACTTAGGGTATTACATGTGTGAGTCTGGGAAAATCTTACATTAGTAAACTAGGGGTGATGATTCTATCAGGACAAAATCTAGCATCCAGAACAAAATTTGAGTAAAAAGACGTATTTACCTATCATAAAAAAAAAATCAGCACTCATCGTTTTTTTTCACCTCACTATCGATCCTCAAACCCACGCCGCTGGTCTGTCACAACAAGAATAAAAAGAAGTGCAAAATTTCTAATTTCTCATAGATGTTTTTCCTATTCCCTATGAGAAACAACAGAATAACTTTTTTTCCTCCTCTCAATATTAAGTGTTTTAATCCAGTAGAAGCCAAGAGTTGAGAAAATCATATAAATTATTTGCAATCAGTAAAAATCCACCAAATTTCAAAGGGTTTACTAAAAACAAACAATTTGAAACGTAGAGATGCGGGTTCTTAAGAACACTCAAATAAAATTTCCTATCTTTATGTTTCCTCTGCAAAATTGGGATATTTTTCCAAAATCAATAGGCTCTCCTTTTCTCTGTAGCTACCAATGCACAAAAAATTGGATGAGTTTTCTGTAAAATTTATTACGAATCCTAATTTTCATGTTTTTTGAGATCAGATGAATAAATTCAGGTTGCTTTGCCTAGAGAATTGGATGTGTTTTCATTTGCGTAAGAAAAAGTAATGGAGGTGTCTGCCGCAACCGTGAGAAATGATAATAAGTATTAAGTACCCATTTAAAGAGGGATAATTGTGTCTATTCATATTAAAATTGCCCTGGATGCTAAAAGTTGTTTTGACAGAATTACTTGATGTCAACTAGCTATCCTCTCATCTCCTTGATTTCACGGTCTTAATTAATATCCTTTTAAAAAAAAAATTACTTCCCTTAATAACGCTTAATATTCATAAATTTTTTTCACGTCCTCACTCAATAGCTTTCCTAACCCTTTTTTTTTTTCAAAAAAAAAAAAACTCTAAAGCTGGTGAACATTATTGTAAATGGATCAAATAAACCAATCCTAAGTATAAGAATCAACCCAGAAAATAAAGGAAATATTTACACCAACACTTTATAGAACACTTGTTGTGCATAGAACAAATTCCATAATATTCGAACCGGAAATTTCTTTTCCCCTCCAACAATTAAATAGATATCAACTTATCAAGAACGATGTAAGTCAAAGAATTTTCAGAGTCTACTAAAGGAAATCATTAATAGTAAGATTCAAATTTCAATTTAAGGAAAACAAAGCCCACTCTCTTTTGCATTGAGAGATCAAATATATACTCCCACTCTAGTTTGATAAGACAGACAAAAGAGGAGAAAAACTCGCTTCAGTTTCTATACAAAGAAAAGAATAGTATTCGCTAGAAGCACAAATAAGGACGTACGGAAAAAAGGTAAAGACTAATAGTAGAAGGGAATTAGATGTATAAGAGTCTTAAAACCTTTACATGATAGAAGCAAAAATTTAGTCAATGCAACGCCCTAGTAACCTAGTTAGTGGTTTTTTCTTTTTTTTAATTTTATTTTGGCAGGTTTTAAAAAAAAAAATTAATAGAGAAATGAAAACAGGTTTTCAAGGGGAAAAAAATGATTTACAAAGAAATGCAAACAACGGCTAAATTTTAGTGCCTTCCTCATCCTCCCGTCAGCTCTACCTGGATGGAGGTTCTCTACATTGTTTCAAGTGTAGCTGTGGAGGAATACGGTTGATGCAAAATAGAAAGAGGAGGAAGAAAATAATTAATTCATTAATTGGCATGAGATCAGTAAATGAGAGAATACTTAATTAGTTTAAGGGTAATTTTAGAAAAATAAAATAAATTTGTCTCAGATGCTAGAAACTGTTTTGACAAAATTACAAGCTATTATAATGCCCCGAAAGCAGGTTCCTTCGATTGTTAGCGAAGAAGCCGTGCTCGAACGTCGGCCTGACTCTCGCCATAACTCAATAATAGTCATTCGGTATTCACGAGCAAATTAGACGATATAATGTATCTTGATATTTTATTCAATATATAAGATTCAAGAACTGAACTATTACATTTATTTTAAAATTGAGAGTAACTAAAAGCACTATGCTATCACAGTGCTAACCTTGGCAAGTGCTTTTCTTGCACGGTTAAAAATTTTCGAATCTTATTTTATAGTCTTCATTAACTGTAAGGAAAACAAAATTAACAGAATGAGCTAAAGCCCAATGAGGTTCTATTAAAATATTAATATAACAAACAAGCACTTTAATAAGACAACCAAGTATAAAAATCCGAGTCACATAACGAAAAGAAAAATATTTAATAACGAATCAATCAAGAAGATCACACATAGTTAAAGGATACAGCGAATGGAAAAGAAATCCACTCCGAGTCAATATGACTGGAGAAATTGGAATGAATTTATGGTTAAACTCGGAACACTGATCTCGGATCACTTGTGTTTTTCATCAACCATGCCCTAAACACTAATTTTTGGTACTAATCGCTGTATTAAATATGCAAATTACCGTTTACTACCTTTCAGTTCTTCTAGCTAATGATCAAGCCCAATACCGACCCGTCGGGTTTGAATCACTGAAAGACTCGTGGATCCACTTCACTTCACTTTAACATGCACATTCGATGGATTCATTTTGTACAAAGAACCTTCAATATGTTCCATTTAACAATTTCCGGGTAATAAAGTACACACTCAGTCACACATAAATCATATAAAATCATACAGTATTAATATTTTAATGAGACACTCACCTTGATGATGGGTCACTAATCACATCTTTTATCAAAGATTCGATTGATTTTCTAAATTTTGATGATACAAATGATCTTCTCCCGTAGGTTTTTTTTTTCTATAATGGTTATGTAGCTTCTAGTACTTCATATGAGAAAAAGGTTGCTATTCCTATTGATTTTCCATCTCCTTCATTTATTTGCTCCTCTCTTTCTCTCTCCTCTCGGCTTTCACCCTCTTTTTTTTTTTTCTTTCTTTTTTTTCTTTTTTTTTTCCCGTCTTTCTAAACTCAATATCCAAGTCTCCTATTTATAGTAGTTATGGTGAGGAGAAATAGATGTACGGAGGGGGGTGAGTTGCTTGGGGGTTACGGGTTAGGGGGTGTAGGGTATTGGGCAATGTTTTCAAAATCGAGATTTCATACAGGATCGTTTTGCCGTCTCAGGATCGGATTGGATTCTAGATCGGTGGGATCGAATCGGCAGGATCGAAACCATTTAAAATTATTATAATAATTCTAAAATTGCAAGTTTTAATTTGTTAGTTCAATTCTTATTTAATTTTATAGAGGAGAATTAGATTAGTGCCCGCATAAGTATCATCAACTCAAAATTTTAACTTTTATACCTTTTCTAATTATTTTCCCTCTTTTTTATACGAAATCAACAATTTGTACAAGTATCGATAAAGTTAATGGGATCGCTGGATCGTAGGATCCTACGATTTAGATTGGGATTTTGAAGGATTCTATAAGATCCCACTACAAAGAAGGATTCCATAAGATCCAGGATCGATTTTCTAATTTTGGATCGCAGGATCGTAGCATTTTAAGATCCGAATTGAGATTTTGAAAACTATGGTACTTGATACTGGGATAAGGGGGGTACTAAGGGCATCTCTAACCCTTTATCTCTCTAAACTCTATATTTAGAGTTGAAAAAATAAAATCCCACTACTTTTACAGTTTAAACAGTGTCAGCATCTCCAACCCATTCCCTCTATAAAATCCCTCTAAAAAGAATATTCTAAGTATATTTTTTTATTATTATTATTTTGTGAAATTAACTTTTGTTATTTGTATTTTATAATATTCTATAACTAAAATAAATTACATTTAAAAAAATTCTATAATTACGCATATGTATGATCGTTAATTAAAATAATAATTAGTAATATTAATCATTAAATTTAAATTACATAATTTTTACGCAATTAATTATAGGAATTTTTTTTTACCATATATTATGTCAATTAAATAAAATTACAACTAGTAAAATAGCAAAAGCCTTTGGCTCGATGATAATAAACACCATTACTAATATTACATTTAAATCATCAAAAAGACATTAAAAATACAACATCGAAAATAATGATGTACTTTAAATGATGTACATTTGGTATTTGGTTTTGTGAGTTTAAATGATGTACTTTATTTTTTTTTCTTTTATTGTATAATTTAAGTTTATAAATAATCAAAAAAATGTATTTGTTTTGTTATTTGTAGTTTCTTTTTGTGTGATTTTATTAATGATAATATGTGTCTTATGATTTTATAATAAATCGACAATGGTTTCTTAGTCCTGGTTAAAATACACATACAAATATTTACTATTAAGACGTAAATTCACTCATTAAAATGATAATTATGATTATTAGTTTTTAATTCTACAACTTAAATAATAACTAAGAATGAAATAAATATGTAATTAAATTATTTAAGATCTAACAATTAAAAAGGTTAATAGTTACTGTCCAAAATACAAAAAAGGGCACAAGTAAATTAAAGTCCAAAGAATGGCCCGAAGTTTTTGTTAAAAAAAAAAGCAAAAAAAAAAAAAAAAAAAGAGAGAGAGAAGGTCCACCCGCAATATAGCAGGTGAACAGTACCCTTCAAACTTGAAGGGATAGAGGGTCACATAGCAGAGCGGGCTGCGTTGGAGAGCCCGCTCCGGTAGCGGACGCGTTGGAGATGCCATAATAGGGTAAGGGTTTACTAATGGGGAAAGGGTATATACGTGTAAGTTTTTCAATGGGATGCTAGTTTTA